ATCAATCCTAGCCCACAGAAGGCTGAGGCAAGAGAATTATCATGACTTCAAGTCTAGCCCAGACTCACAGTTTCAGCCTATAAGACTCTTTTTAAAAAATTAATTGCATGGTATGTCCAATTTCACAATTTCTAAGAAGAAGGAAAGTCTTCTAGATTGACCATTGTTCCTGATCTTGTGTCCCCTCCAAGGCTCTGCTTTGATGGAATTAGAGTTCCGAAGTCTGTATCTAAATCTATCTGAGTTCAATTTCTCTCCAGGACTTTAGAGGCTAAAGTGGGCTTATGAAGTAAGTGTGCTATGCCTCTGCCCAGCTAAAGAATTTGCTCCAATAGCTCAAGTCAAATGAATTTTCTGAGAAGAGCACCTGATGTTGGGGTCAACCTTTGAGAACTGGGGGAGATAAACTCAAGGGTTCTAGTGTACAAGCAATATAATTTAATAGCTGCTAGGCTGCCAGCACACGGAAGGCTGCCAGATCATGGCTTAAGAGGAGTTGGTGAGTCCATGTTCACTTACTCACAACCAGAGTTTTAGAGCTACCCTACATAAGGTCCATGGTTTCTCCACAGCTACCCTAACTAAAGGCAAGCTGGCACTTAATATTTCTATAATGACTCTCAAATTGATAATAGATCTATGCTGCTTCAGGCTGCCTTTGACAGGTATTGAGTCTCTGAAATGAACTAGGAATCTTCCCCAAACCATACACAGATGACCAAGTCTCAGTCCAGGAGATTCCCCACCAATCTCATTCCCAATCATATTACCAGTATGGATAAGGTGTCCCCCATTGCCTGGGAGTCCACCACTGCATCAGGAGAGCAAGCTAATGAGATGGTGGTCATGAGAAAATGGACTAGGGGAAAGGGAAAGGGAGAGATCTGATACCACCCATCAGCCAAACGCTGATCAGCCTAATAGGAAGCCTCAGGAGGGCTCTGTGGCATAAAGATAGGGCCAGTCTGCTTGGCTGGTCTATGAGTGATGTCCCAAGGGGAGATGTGGAAAACTCGAGACAGAATCTGTCCCAGCCCAGTGCAGCATAGAAACATTTAAGCACAATGATGGAATTTGACAACTTACCAGCCTATGGTTTGTGTGAACTCCACAGGCTTGCAAGATGTCTAAGAATTACTGCCTAAGGGTGTCTCCCACTAGTCCCCTTACTGTGCAGATGGAGTGCCTCCTGTTATTTGTAAGCATTGCCCAGGAACGTGTTACAGCCCTTTCCCTCACCTTCTGATGCCTTCTATGTTCTCCTGCCTCTTTGAAGTACTGAAGCAAAGGGGCATTTTTTTGGTTCTTTGGCCATGCAACCTGGCTGCACCTCAGTCACATGTTCCCAGTAGCAAAAGGTGGAATAGTCAAAGGGCTCCACACAGTTCACATCATTCAACTGAGTCCTGTGCTGAAGCACTGTGGAGAGTAGAGGGTCCCACAGCAGCTGGAGGCCTTTTCAGAATCGTACACGGACTCAGTGTATAGCAGCATCTCCCTGCTGCACTGGCCTGGACTGTTTATGACGACCAGCCACTGCTACTCTGAGACCTTATGCCTAATCATCCTGCCCTCATCCCCCAAGGCAGAAATGTCCTGTCCTCTAAGTTGGAAGTAGGCGCCTATGTTTAGGTCAAGATTCTTACTCTAGACCATTTAGCAACAGATATTGGGGTCCTTTCTTGTAAGCCAATTAGCACCCATAGGCTCTTACCTGTCCTAACTACCCACGATTCTCTAGAGCCACTTGTCTTGCAAATATGAGAAAGCTGAAAATCTTTGTCCTACAGAAACTTCAGCATCAGTTTATGGGGATATTTTGCTCAAAACCAGCACGCAATTGATACATGCTTAAGCATAGAAATGAATAGTATATGCATGGATATTTATTTGTGCATCTGTACTTATCCAGGTTTTGCTCTAAGTTCTCCCTTCCTATAAGCCCGGTCCTAATATGCACACATGTATACCTAGACATACACAAAATAATGGATTATCATACCTTAACTTACCCAATGTTCAGTGAGAGCAGAAGCAATGGGATGCCCCAGGCAATACAGCTGTTTTTCCTTGTCATTGATGCCACTTGGCTAAATGTTGAAAGCTCTCAACACGGAATCCCAAACACAGAGCTGCACAGCCTCTAACAAAGGGTGATTGTATTGACAAGCAAAATCTCAGCAGAGTCTATGGCTGCCCCTACACCAAAACAGCAGCCTAGTTGGGGAGTGCCCAGGAGACATGCCTGAGGAAAGCCAAGAGGAGATGCCTCTGAATTAGATACCCCTCAGTGTACCCTGTGATGAGCACCAGCGGTTGCCTGGCTGTGGACTTAACAAATCAGATCTAAGCAGCATGAGATGCCTTCTGGCACCCCAATGAGGTATCCTGTGATCTGTTTTGTTAATGAGTACACAGACAGAAGAGAGTAGGGACAATTGGCATAGATGTGCTTGATGGCTGCCCACACATTCTCACTTATGTTAGTGTTAGATTCCAGGAGTAATGCCTGTCTCCCCAGTCCTTGACATCTTATTCTGAACAGCTTCATGGAAGGCCAACGACTAAATAAAAGCTCTAGGAGTCCTGCCAGTGCATTGCAGAGGCCCACTTGGCCAGGATTCCAGGCTTATAGTTTCATTTCCCCTCCCCTCCACCTCATCCCACCATCTGCTTGCCTTCTTAACTTGTATATATATTTCACTGCTATTAAGACTGCTGTGTACTTCGTGCCACCATGAAATAAAACAGAGGACCCAACTCTTGCTAACCAGGGTTCCCAGCAAGAGGATGGTCATGAAGATCTACACTATATGAACATCTGTTGATTCATTTTAGACATTTCTATTTTAAGCCTATCAGATTTCTTTGGATTTTTTGACAGAAGATTGAATATTCTGTTTGGAATTTGAGGGACTTCTTTGTTTGGATGCCCATAAGAGACTGAAGGAGTTGCCAAATCCACAATGTGCCAAGTCATTTGGGTTCATCTGCCCATTGGTTCACTCAGCTGCTGTTTACTAGTTATTTACTTTATTTGCCGCGGGTCAAACACTTAGTGAATTGCTTCCTGAACAGCTTGAGATCACTATGGCTTCTAAACATCAGCCAGGCTCCTTGATAGGAAACTGGGCACGTAAGACTGGCTAGGCCTCTTCTTCTACCCGACCATTTCTGCCCAACCTGTAGTATTTAGTCCCAAGTGAATTTGGCAACAGGTCTTATGCCCTTGTTTGAACCATGAGCATTTCAGAAAAGTCAAAGATGTGTGTGAGTCCTCTTATTCCAGGTAGTCAGGGCCTTTTCTGAAGATGATGCAGTGTTCTACTGTCTGGTTGAATGAAGACAATAGACTGAGAGACAGCCGGATGGTCATTGCTTCTCAACCTTGATCCAGCCTTGACCCACTAGACAGGCAATACAAGGCAGGTCCTACCTGCTTCCTGAGGGGTAGCTATTGTTATTGGAAGACAGTGAATTTCCAGGGCTCTTCCAGATCTATATTAGGAATGTCACAGTCCTTTGAGGCCCTGCATTTAGCATACAGTCTGCCTATTCCAGTCAAGAGAGCAGTATCAGGACCTAAGACCTCTTTCTCATCATTTCTCACATGATAAAATGGGCTCAGGGAGTCTACATGACAAGGCTAAGACCTCCCTGTATCTACCTGATGACTAGGGACATATGCCATGCTGCTTCTGTCCACTCCCTGGGCCCCATCCTCTATTAAACTAAGACAGTTACTTCTTAAGCGAGATCTGTCAATCCGGACAGTTCTAAGTGATTCTGATGTACAAGAAGGCCTTAGCCAGACAGCTGGGGCGGGGGGTGTTACTTTGATGTTCACTTGGCCATGAGAGCCATGACCTTAGTCTACTAGCAGATGAGGGGTGGCCAGAATCAGCATCTTAGCCTTATTCTCACATAGGTGCCTCCACTTCCTTTCCCTTTCCGTACTGGCAGACAACTCATGGTTATTAATGTGACTGAATCATGGGGTAGAATCGGAAACAGGGAAACAAAGTGTTGCTTTGCTCCTGAAGACTGTTTTTATATAAAATGGGCAGCTCTCACAAGGTGCCGAGCCCACAGTAGGGCCTCTTCCTGTTGTTTGATATCTCCCCAATGCAAGGATGCATCTGCACAGAAGAATTCCTTATTTAAATAACTTTATACTTGAGGTTTTCTTTTATTGCAAGTTTTTCTCATTAAAAACAAACAATACAGAAATTTAGAGAATAGAAAGCAAATTGCCAGTCATTCCTTAGGTGACCACTCTAAAAGACTGAGTATTGGTTCATCCAAATTATTTTTGTATGTGCATAAGCAGTGCAAATGTGTGCGTGTGGAAAGAGTATGTGGGTGTGAACTAAATAGAATAATGACCACAGTGGCTGTTCTAAATCATGCACTTTCCCCTAAACATATACCTCAGGCAGTTCCTTTGCATTTCTCTGACACTGGTACGTTCTATTTTATCAACACACCCTGATTCATTTAAGCCAGAGAGTGAGGCAACCTAGAACTTTGTTGTCTATTCTATGGTTTGTCTTTTTCAAAACTGGTTTACCTGTAGATTGGTAGGAATTGAAATTGTTCAGCTAGTTCTAGTTTGCTCTTGAGTGCCTGCCTTTGGCAGCAAGTTTCTTTAGTGACTTCAGCATAGTCCCTGAATTCCCCTTGTAAGTGCACAAAGAATACCCTTTGTGTGACTTTTAGTCATGCTAAGTATACAGACAGCATATTGCTTTATTTGAAATGTAACAAGACTGTTTAAATGAGACACACCAACAAAGAAACAAAAAACATGCTTCTAAAAATAGACTGTAATTTTATGATTTTTGACAAGCGTAACTTTAAAGTGAGAGATCTGTTTTATCTGTGGCTTCTTAGCATTAACTTTAATATATCAAAGCTTTTGTTAAATTCATATTCTCTCTCTCTCTCTCTCTCTCTCTCTCTCTCTTCCTCTCCTTTCCTCTCCTCTCCTGTAAACACAGGGAACCAGTAAAAGAAGACAGGAAGGAGACAACTTCCACTTTACTGGCATGGCTGACGGGGGCTACCCTAATAAAATCAAGAGACCTTGCCTTGAAGATGTCACCCTCTCTATGGGCCCAGGTGCCCACCCTACTCTTTCTACAGAACTGCAGATGCCCACATTAACCATGAATCCTAGCTCTGCAGATCTGGGTGTAGCTGGCCAGTCATTACTTCTTGAGAATAATCCTCTGGACAACAATGCTGTGAATAGTAGTGCTATGGGCTCACCGTTTGGGGTGCCGTCGACTACAGACACAGGGCTGAAAGGGCATGCTATTCCTTATTATGAGAAAAACAACAATATGCCAGCTGTGGACCAGGAGCTTCAAGATCTGCTGGAGGAACTAACCAAAATTCAAGAGCCTTCTTCAAATGATCTTGACCTTGAGAAGATTCTGGGGAACAAGACAGAAGAGCCTGTGGTTGAACATCACTCCCAGGCTCCCCTTGGCCCACCTGCCAAGCTTCCAATTCAGATGCCACTTATGGAGATCCTTGGGCCCAGCAAAGAGTATGCGTCTAGCTGCAGTCAGGCCACTGACACATCACTCCCAGTCTTGCCCTCCTCCACAGAGATCAACTATCCCATTCCTCCCACCAGTAAGCAGATAACCTCACCCAGTTCTTCAACAACACAGGCTCAGGTTAAAAACCAGGCGCAGACCATGCTCCCTGTCACTTTGCCTCCGTTATCTGTGCCTCAGTGGCATCATGCCAACCAGCTGAAAGCACTTGCGGCCAGCAAGCAGGGATCTGCTACAAAACACCATGGTTCCAACCGTAGTTGGTCCAATCTGCCTACTCCAGGCCTCTCCCCACCTTACCTACGCGTGCCATCACCTCATCCACCACCAACACAGCCGCCACCACCACCACCATTCAGCCCACAGAACTTCACAGCACCCTGCATGTCATCTAATAGCTTGTCTGGAAGTGCTGCGCAAAGCTCGTCCAATGCCTTACTCTCCAGCATGGCCCCCAGCAGCAATGCTGCCCTTGGGCCCACTTTGTCCTATGCTCCAGCGAAGCTCCCAGCTCTGCCTCACAATCAGAAGCCACAATTCAGCCCCCAGAGCTCCATTCTTGCCAATCTGGTGTCCTCTTCTGTCAAAAGCCCCCAGGGACACCTATTATCTGCTGTGCCTACCAGCACCCCAGGACCATCCCCACCCTACCGCCCCGAGAATCTCTCCAGCCCTGGCTTGCCACAGCAGTCCTTCACTCCACAATACTCTCTGATCAAGAGCCTTACTCCTACCAGCAGTCTGCTTAGCCAGCAGCAACAGCAGCAGCAGCAGCAACAACATCAACTGCAGCATCAGCAGCAGCAGCAACAGCAAGCAAATTCCATCTTTAAGCCTATGACCAGCAGCCAGCAAAGCAAAACCCTGAGCATGATCATGCAGCAGGGCCTGGCAAGTTCCAGTCCAGAAGGACCTGAGCCCTTTATCTTCAGCAACACCAAACCCTTGTCGCATTTTGTTTCTGAGCCAAGCCTGCAGAAGATGGCCTCCATGCCTGCCTCCTCCAGGCAGTCATCCCTGTTCTATTACCTGCCTCAGGCAACACCAGCTCATGTTCCTTCTGCCACTGCCTCCTCTACTGCCACTGCCACCTTGCAACTCCAGCAGCTGCAGCAGCAGCACCATCAGCAGCAGCACCATCAGCACCATCAGCAGCAGCTGCATCAGCAGCAGCTGCATCAGCAGCAGCTGCATCAGCAGCAGCACCATCAGCAGCAGCACCATCAGCAGCAGCAACAACACCACCACCACCAAAAACAACAACAACCTGACCAGTCTTCATTCCTCCTGCAGCAGACAATGCAGCAACCCCAGCCCTTTCAGCGCATGGTGGCCTCTGATTCCATGCCCGCTCTGCCTGGACAGGTAAGACCACCTCCTATCTGGTGGTGCTCCTTTGGGAAATAAGAACTATTTGATATGCTATGCAGACCTGGCTTTGGGAGGCAAATTCAGGCTATTATCCTCACGGAGGCCAAACTTGACCCTGGAAAAGCCTATGTAAGTCAGATAATTGTGTGTAGTTAAGTACAGTATTCATGAGGCCAAAATTATGGCTCTGGAGTCTAGTCAGCTTTCCTGGGAGGAAAGCTGCACCCATAATCTGTGCCAGGGGAAGGAGTCAGACAGGACAAGTCAGACATCTATAGATGAACAGTTTCCCTTGGACTGAGCCGCATGCCTGGACGCACAAATGCTTTGAAGGATGTAAGGATATGACACTGAAGCATTTGGTGCTTGTCTGTCCTGCTATTAAACTGAACACTGAGCCTTCTAGAAATGCCCCAGAATCCTTCTACTGCACAAGCTCAGTGTGTCTTTCATCACTGTGCTGGACACTGAGGCCAGTCCTGGAAGGAAAAGGCATCCACCTCTAAAGCAGTAACTGTTGTCACCTCCATTCTGCAAAGGAAGAAACTGAGGCTCAGAAAGTTGCGATGACTTGCCCAGAGTCACACAGTTTGCAAGGGCCAGAGCAGGTGCTTAAAGCCAGAAAATCTTGCTCCAAAATCTCTATTCTTGAGATTACTTTTTCCACATCCCCTCTTCACCTATAGCCTTTTGAATCATTCACTGTAGGTCTATCATTGTTACCAGTTGTTTTTGCTCTGATCCTTGCCTGTATTAATTATCTATCACTGTGTAAACACTTACCCAAAGTGTTAACTCCAAACCGGATGTATATATTGGCTCACAAGCTCTGCAGGTCAGTAATCGTGGCTTAGCTGGTTCTTCTGGCCCAGAATATATCAGAAAGTCACTGTTATCTCCAAGTCCCATGGGGAAGGAGGTTCTGCCTTGCTCACTCATAGCATTGTTGATAGGAAGCAGCTCTTTGCAGGGGCTTCAGGAAGTGTTTGTTGGCCAGAATCTTCTTAAGCAAGCATTATACAATATGGCAGTTGGCTTCATCCAAGTGGATGAAAAAGGCATGCCTTCTAAATGCATGGATGGAGCTAGGGATAGGGAGGATTGTCAGAAAGTCTTTAAGATAGTCTATGGTATCATCATCAAATGTTGGCCACAGGGAATTGCATGAAGGTGTGCCTACCAGGAGGCAGGGATCAAAGTCCTCCTCTAGAATACTGTCAATCATGATGCATCTTTCCATTCATTGGTTATTCATATGAGCTGATACAGTTGACCATTAACCAGCACCCCCAATAAATCATCATCATTTACCCTAAGAGGGACCTTGATAGAATGATGTCCTGATGTTTACCACTTGTTCAGAAGTTCCCAGAGGGTCATAACATGATTCCACATACTTCTTCAGACACAGAGCCTCTGGGGCTCTGCCTTTCACTTCACTCTATAACCTTAAAGTGCCCAGAGTTCTTGGGCCTTGTCCCTGCTGGTTCCTGTGCCTGGCTTTCTCTTCCATTTCTCTCCTGTCTAACTTCTGCAGCTTCTTCAAGCTCAGACTCCATTCCTTCTGGAAGCACTGATGGTCCCAAATGCTTCCGCCTTCTGCTGGGCCTCTCTGTTCTGGAGAGAAGTCAAAGAGACTATGTTTATGAGTGCCTGGGGAGAGAAATGAATGTCAGAAAGTGACCTCTTCAAGGGTACACATGACCGCTTCCTACAAAGAATATCCAAATATCATGGAGTCCAACCAAGCACAGTGCTTGATACCATGGAATTGGCTGTCTGGTGGGTGCATGAAGCAGAAAGAATTCCCAAAAGGGTGGCTGGTGGCTAGGATGAATGGCAAGAAGACAGAACTAGCAAGCAGAACAGGGAACCCAGCTGGGGGCCTAAGCCCTTGTCCGTGGCTCAGGAGTACTGTGGTTTGATGTCGTTATAGGGCTGTTGCCATCGCTGTGCATGGACTACTGCGGCTCTCTGGTTGGAGCACCAGCATCAGCAGTGGAATGCTCTCAATAGCACGCATGGACATGCGCCACCATCTAACCTTGTGAGCCACTTTGTTTTATTCTTATCTGCAATGGGGTGTGTTTGGAGTCTTACTGTGTTGCCGCGGAGCCAGCTCAGATGGCTTGGGGGAAAATGCTTAATGACTAAAGTTTATAGATTTGCCTGTTCCGGACATTTCATACAAATAGAATCGTAGTGGGCTGGAGAGGTGACTCAGCAGTTGATGCCACTTGCTGTTCTAGCAGAAGGCCTGCAGGGCACCTACATGTACTCAGAAGCATCTACAACTCTGATTCTATGGGCTCTGATGCCCTCTTCTGGTTCTGCCGGCACCAGGCATGCACGTGCTACACATACTTGCAGGCAAAACACACAAGCAAAAAATAAATAAATCTTAAAAAAAATAACAAGTGATAATAATGAATAGTCATCCCTAAAGCATAGACATACAATTAATGTACAGACTGAGCAGGTTGTATTTATATATTCAGAAATGTGTGTGTGTGTGTGTGTGTGTGTGTGTGTGTGTGTGTGTGTGCAAAACAAGAATCATTGAAAACCAAGGCCATGGATTTGAAAGAGAGCAAGGAGGGATATATGGGAGGACTTAGAGGAAGGGAAGATAGGAGGAATGATGTAATTATACTATAATCTCAAAAATTAAAAAGAAATAATAAACAAACAAATAAATGGAAACAAACAAAAACAGAATTAATCCCCATATAGTCTTTTCCTTACAGCGCTTACAAGGTACATTTGTATAGTAGGGCTTGTCAACCCTTCCTTCCGTTCTAATGCTGAGGAATAGGGCTATAGAGTAGATACTCTAAATTGTGTTTATCCACACACACCTCAGTGGGTATTTGGGGTTATTATGCATAGTACCCTTAGGAGTGTCTGGGTCTAAGGTTTTGGAGCCACGAGTGGAGATTCTGCATTTCATGGCCACTCTGCACTCAACTGCTTCTCATAGCGGCTGCACTCTTACATATCCAGTAGCAGTGTAGGAGATTTCCAATTCCTTGGCATCAGCTTTAGAGTTTTCGTCTTTCATTTATTTATTTATTTAATTTTGAGACCGAGTTGTGTGAATCCTAGACTAGCTATGTAGCCAAAGATGACCTTAAACTTCTGATCCTCTTGCCTACACCTCCCAAACACCAGGATGGCAAGTATGCACGCTCCATCTGTTTTCTCCGATGCTGGGGATCACATCTCAGCTAGGGCTTAGTGCACACTAGGCAGGTACTCTACCAACTAGGCTACATCCCCAGGCCCACTTGTAGTTTTTTTAAGTTAAACTTTTTCAAAATGAAAAGTGACATGTTTCAATATTAATATGTTTATTAACACAAAACTATAATAATATGCCTTGCAGCTCTTGCATAGTGTCAAAACAGCCCCTTCAAATGCACAGGAATGTTGAATAACATTATGCATGACTAAGCCCACTTAGGTTCCAGTACACTATATCACTGAAGCCCTTGACCAAGGAACTAAACCCTGACGAAGGTTCTAGGGAAGCCTTTCTCTAGTTTGTGTGCACCCTGCAGACCCGATCAACAAACGCTTCCTATAGGCAGCGGTTCTCAACCTGAGGGTCGCCTTTTTCACAGGAGTCACATATCTGATACCCTGAATATCAGATATTTACATTACGACCCAAAACAGTAGCAAAAATACAGCTATGAGGTCGCAATGAAAATAATGTTCTGCTTGGGGTCACCACAACGTGAGGAGCTGTATTAAAGGTCACAGTGTTACGAAGGGTGAGAACCACTAATCTAAGGTGACTGACACATCAAAACCTTGACTCCTCTCTGGAAGAAGACCAGAACATCAGACAAATAACTTCCTACCAAGAGCCACAGGAACACAGAGGTGAGCTCTTTCTGTTCAAGTCTGGCCTCTTTCTGTACCTCCCAGGTCTAGTTCTCTGGCCTAAGATGTCCTCTTTGATCTGTAACTTAGATTGTTAGTACAGATAGTGATTAGTGATGATGGTTAACCAGTGTCCTCTGGACCAGGATGCTCTGAAGCTTGTGACAGTAGCATGATAGTCTATTGCTTGGGAAACATTTTCTTCCTGTCCTCAGCTCTGTCTTCCTTTCTACTATCCATACTGGAAGTCTAGAGAACAGTGTTCTCTGCCTGCTGGTGTATACAGAGCCAACCAGCAAGCTGTACAGCTTCTCCCCATCGCCCTCCTTAGTCCTGGCCCAGACAGTACCCAAACACGGTAACTGTGGTAGTGAAGGTGTAGGCTGCCTCTCCAGGACACAGATGCAAGGGTTTGTTCAGAAAACTCCAAATACTGCCCCCACCCTGACTTATCCCTTTTGTATTGGATTTGGAGAAGATAAAATGGGAGAATATGAAATCAATAGAATGGTGTCTTTTAAAGGCGGGCCAGCCTTTTGGGATGTTGTTTGGTTTTGAGTTTGTTTTGATTTTACATTTTTTTTTCTTTAGAGTTGAATGAATGAGTAGCTGCTGTAATGTCCTTAGGTTTTGTGTTGCTAGCCTTGAAATAACAGAGTCTCTATCCTCCACAGACTGGAAATGCTGAGCCTGTGTTAGCCCAGAACCTAATAACTGCTTCTGCAGTAATGGCGGTCTCTTTCACCTTCTTCATTTGCATGCAGAGTGTACAGCATATACCATTTTGACCCTAGTATGTGGTCATTATCCCAGTTAAGCCCTCAGTTTTCGTTCCCAGAACACTCAGGAAAGGCTAAAGCAGAGACCATATTGTCTTGTTTTTAAATAGGAAGGAAGATACAGATGTTCATAAACTGCTTGAGGCAAGAAAGACATGAAGAAATGTCTCAGAGGCAATATGAGGAATCAATGTAATTCTTGTTTGGAAATAATTAGATTTACAGTAAACTGAAAACATGGTAGAAAGAAGTCCCCTTTGCTCCTCACACGATCTCCCTCATTGTTACATGCTCCATACCAGCCATACTATGTGAAAACCAAGAAAAATTGGTACCATACTGATACAGGATCCCCCCCACACACACACACTCTGTGTGTGTGTGTGTGTGTGTGTGTGGTGTGTATTTAAAAATTTGTTAGACATTTTCATGTTTCTAGACAAATATTTAGGAGTACAGTTGCTGTTATTTCTGCTTTTTTTTTTCTTAAGAAGCTGCCCAATTTCCAGGGCAGGTGTATCATTTTAAATACCCACCAGCGTGGATGAGTAATTGTACTTCCTCCACAACCTTTCTAGAATCTGGTATTGTCACTAAATGTTTTCCAAAGGCAGAAATATCCATACAGTGCTACTTAGAGCATTCAAAATGTTGTTCGAATCATATGATTTTGATAGTACCCACTACTGTAGTGGGTAAAACCCAGGGACTGATGAATACCGACCTTGCATTATATACCCCAAGCAAACAAGGGCCCAAGCTAGCTTGTGATGGATATTTTCTTTTCCAAGTGACTAAAATGTTGTTTAGAATTTTTCTCTATACATTGCTCTGTAATTTTTTGTCTGGACAGTTGTTGTCTTTGATGTCCGTGAATGTTCCCTGAAAGAGGTCATGTTCATATAGGTGATACTAATGCTTCTCTTAACACCACACAGAAAAGAAGATTGCAGGCTGAACCTCCTCATAGATATGGTTGCCAACATTCTCAACAAATTGCTGGCAAATTGAATTCAATCACACCAAAAAGATCATTCATCATTTAAGACTATCTGTGCCTAAAGGCTTCCTTTTGCCATACTGGGGGTGGGGGTTGGATTCAAACCAGAGTTCCTACATGCTAGACAAGCTGTCTATCACTAAGGCACATTACAGCCCTTTTGAACTTTCACGTCAGGAATTTTAACAATTTCAATTCCTTTGGTCACGTGTCCTTTAGAAAAATTGCTCCATTTCTTTAAAATTTCCAAATTTAATGTGTATAACAGTGTTTTCCTTATCTGCAGGGTATGTAGTAAGCACTCCTTTTTCATTCATCATAATTTTTAGTTTTCAGGTTTAATAACTTTACTTACTTTGTCAAATACAGCTTTTCCCATTGGGTTTATCTCTATTGTTTTTCTTTTCAGTATCATTTATTTTAATTTTTATCATTTCCTTCTGCTTGCTTTTGAGTTTCTATTTTCTTTTTCAAAGTGCTTTGAGAGCTTCAATTATGCCCTCGCTTCTAATGCAAACGTTTGATGCTCTTGGAACAACTTTGCTCATACTCCACAAGTTTCATTTTCATTCATAATCACAGTCAACATATTTATTTGCTTCAGAATTTTGACACAATTTTTAAAGCTAGAACTTTTGTTTCTAAGTGTTTTGAAATTTTTATCTCTTTTTCTATTATTGTTTTCTAGTTTGATTCCATTGTAGTCACAGAAAATACCATGTATTGTTTCAATCCTTCTAAATTTTTGTAGATCATTTTTTAGTTCACTTGTATATCCTATATTTTCAGCTCACTTGTTTAGAAGACGTTTTTTATTATTGATGTCTTTATCATTATGTAATGTCTTTCTCCATTCTCAATCAATTTTTGCCCTAAAATCTAGCTTATCTAGCTTTATTACTGGAATAGTCTTGATCTCATTTATTGTTCACATAATTTATTTCCTTCTATAATAGTTTTTCTTTATTCTTTAAAGTTTCACACATGTATACAATAAGTATGATCAAATCCATTCCCCATTTCCCTTTTCCAGCTGCCCTTCACATTCCCCTAATATGTCGCATTCCCACCTTCTTATCTTGGTGCTGCCCATATGTGCAGAAGAGTGGTGTCATCCACTTGAGCATAGGTAGTATATCAGTGGCCACTTCCTCACAAAAGAGTGGTTCTTGCTCCCCAACAACTATATACTGTCAATAACTCCTCAGTATAGCATGGAGTTGAAGATCACTTGCCCCAGTCTATGCCAAAATTTGACCTGGACTGACCTTATATTGTCTTGTGCATGTAACAATAGCTGCTATGTGTTCAAAAATCTGATAGTCGCGTCATGTCCAGAAAACAGCTTTATGTCCCCTTTCTCCATCCTCTGGGTCTTAT